AAGTAATTTGCTGCAAAAAGCTTTTGTGTTCTTGAGATCAAAGTTTGCAACCCCTTCCCCCTCCATTGAAAAAGATTTTCTGAATCTGCCCTTATGATGTTTTGGCAAAGGTACATGCTATTATTTAGTTTGGTTTGTTGTTTACATTCATGTCCAGTTGTTGAGATCCTCACCTTAAACAATTCCCATAACGGATACTGTATCAGTGAAAATGGTATCTGAAGAAAATGAAAAAAAATAAAGTGGGAGTTTTGAGAAAAATAGAGAGTATTCCATGGAAAGTGTGCACAAACAATTTTTCTTCATGCGTTGGGATGCATCAAAAAAATGAATTAGTGAACACAGTGAACAAGTGGTACATGTTACATGTTTCCCTATAGAGCAGAATTGACAAAGAAAAATCTAGTTTCCCCAGATCCAAGTCCTTCTGAATAATTTAAGGACAGTGGATTGTATAATACAGTACCTCTCTCATTAGTGTGTTCCAGTAACCTCTGTAAAAACCACGGACACCCTAGAATGCAGTTTACCAAAATGAGCATCACTTAAGCCTTTAAAGGATATAAATTTTCTCTCTTTTTTTAACTGTCCACAGTCATTGTTTTTTTTATGGTTATTAATGTCATCAGCATGGTTTTTTGAGAACATCATCATCATCATCATTTTCATTTTATTCTCCTCAATACTATTTTTACATTTACTTTTAAAAAATGGATATTCGATTATTGACCCAAAAAATACATTTGCATCAACATGATTTTAAGTATCCAAGTGTACAATAGAGCAAATACTTTCTAAATGTAAATTTTTCACTGGTATGTACAGGGTACCTCTTGTACGAGGGTGTACTTCAGAGCTTGAGCACTGTTCATATGGGTGTAAGCTTGAGCTCGCTGCTTTACAACTTCAAATGGATTTCTCACAAAAAGTGATACCTGTCACATAAATAGAATAATTTTTTACTTAGGTATGAATTTAAATGTAAAAAAAGAAGATACTGTATTGAATTGAAGTTTAGAAATCAGCTGTGGCACTCTCACAGGTTGGATCTTTGTTCACCTTTTCTAGGGTTAAGGGAGATTTAACCCTTAAACTCCCATGAGTGACCAAGACAGAATTTCTCCTTACAATATTAATACAATATCAAGCAGACAAGTAATAAGAAAAAGAAAAATGTCACTCAGGGGATTATTAGTTGATCCAAAACCAAATTCTCCAAACTAACATTACAAGAACTGTACAGCAGACAGTAAGGAGAATTACTAATGAGATCTTGGGAGTTAAAGGTTAAAGGCTAACGATAACTTACGACTTCACCAAGAGTTGCTGCACACATGTGTACAAATGGGAACATTGTTGATGATGTCCTTGGCTTGAGTACATTTTTGGTAAGTTCATATGTACAAAAAAATGTAGCAGCTGAAAGAGATGAACATCAAATCCAAATTTAGTAAAGAATTTAATTTTCCTAATCCTTTCACTCCCAATATCTTGTTAGTTATTCTCCTTACTGTCTACCATGCAATTCTTATGAGAATTTGGTATTGGATCAACTAATAATCCCATAATTGATATTCTTCTCTATTCTCATCACCTACATGCTTGATATTGTATTGATATTGTAAGGAGAAATTCTGTCTTGGTCACTTGTGGGAGTAAAAGGGTTAAGGAAATTGGTATTGGATCAACTAATAACCCCCTAATTGATATTTTTCTTTATTCTCATCACTCCTGTTTTATATTATATCCATATTGAAAGGAATAATTCTGTCTTAGTCACTTGTGGGAGTTGAAGGGTCAAAAGGACAGAGTTCAGGAAAAAGAATCATAGATGCATCACCTGCAGGAGCTGAACCACTCGCGGCAGAAGCAATCCCTGAATATATTCCTCTGAAGCCGCCAGCTTTGACAAAACCTTCTACTGACTGCAGCCTTGTCTTTAAAGTGTCGAGGGGAAACAAAATTACATCAACAGCAGTTCCAGCCACTCCTCCTGCCTACAACATCATAAGAATAAACATCGTTAGGCTTCAGTCTTCTTAACACTACAGAAAGGAGTGGATACTCTACAAAATCTTAGAAATGGAAAAAACTCCAAACTGATCTGTACAATTGTTTATTCAAATGCATTTTTACAACCCTGAACTTTGCATCACACTAACAATTCCCTAAGCCTTGGGTGAGTTTCAATTCACTTCTTTCTTAAAATTTACCCTTAACCAGTCAGATTAACACCCAATTCAACAAAGTCCTTTGTTGCCTGATATGTATAGATGTTGTCCAGACCCTCTTTTTTCTGTCTTCATCTTACTGCTCAACACCCATAGCCTCACTCTTTGTGCACCAACCTAGAGAACTAACACCCTAGCTGTATAATTTATGGCTATTGGCATAGGTCACTTATTTGTGGTTTCTTAGCATGTTGGTTCCAGTTATGTTTTACTCAGAGGTTCTTTATGTATTACAACCTCAATGAGCATTTTGGGAGAGAGAGAGGAGATGTTGAAAATGAATTGATCTGTGACAGGAAGGGACTGGTCACATACTTTTGGGGGTAGGGGTAAATCTTAAAGAAGTGACCAACAGTAGAGTAAATAATAATTTCACAACACCACCTTCTTCACCTTCTTCTTTAACCCCTAGTTATGAAAATTTGGTGTTCATTCAAGATAACAGCTTCTACCTGATAAGTTTTAATATTCTCATTACCTGTTTGCTGTATAATATATGGCAATTTTGGGGAGAAAATACATGTTAATCACTTCACTGAAGCTTATGGGTTAATATATAATTCCTGAGTATATCCTTACCAGAAGGGAGACATGAAATGGAACTGGTCTTTCTTTCTTTGTCATTTGGTTGGTTTGTTGATCAAACTAACAAGTAGTCTTGTTCTCCATTCCTAGTTGCTTTTCTACGAGACATGTAATGAAATTAAATCACAAATTTGCACCAGCTGGTGTTTGAAGTAAGTGAAAGCTGTGTTATGCTTGTAAGAACACTACACCAAATACGTATAAATAGCCAAATATTTATCGATTCATCCCTGATCGTCAAAAAAGTTCACGGTTCTTTCTTTGTTTAAATACCGTTGAATATTGAAAGATCGAGACTGGGTCGAAATTAAAAAATAATTGGCTATCTTTACAGGAACGAAAAAAATATCCATTTAGTAAAGGTCGAGGAAAAAATAATTTTTGATGATTGATTTACCTCAACAAAAAGAAATTGGGAAGCATATCTCACTGTGCTTGCCGCCATTTTGGAACCACGAGACATCTACTGGTACTTAAGTAGATTGCGTGATCACAAACTGTACTGATGTCTTGCGTGACATATACGTGACATCTACTTCGTTTACATTTCTCGAGGTCAATGTCTGAGGTGCCTGTGATAAAACTGAAACGCTGCAAGATACAGATTTAATAATACAGTGATAATACAAATCAGATTTAAAAAATATTTATAAAGCAAGAATATTCCTTATACATTCCTCGTAGCAGTACCTTTTTTATGACAAATTGAGTAGATTGTGCAGTGGCAAGTTTGCATTTTTATTGACTTTTTGACAGAGCTCACCACTTAACCTCGCTTTTGAATACTGTCCATACCACTTATAACTGATGTAGATTGAACAAAATGGTTTGTTTTTTCAAAGCATCACGTTTTGCGTGACATATGCGTGACTGTTCACTTGTTTCATTCCTCTCTCAGCTCAGGGGCAAATTAAGGCTTTGTGTTTCCACTAGGTTATAGTCCGTTATTTCATTTAATTTTTGAAAGTAATGAAATTCATGAGCCAAATTTTATTACAAAAGAATGTTCACCTGGTATCAGCACTGCCGGCTTACAAATGGCCTGTGTTACGCGACTTTGCTAAATTTCGTCATGATGTCATGCCCCGGAAGTCAGTAAATACCCATATTTGGTAATATCATCAGAGGAGATAACAATTGATTTCGAAACCTCCAGACACCGCCGCTGCAGAACACATAATCTGCGACATCGCGGAGTGTTTAAGGAAAACTGAAAATGAATTCCCTTCTCTTCTTCTCGTGTTTGGGGACTTTAGTCGCAGGTGACATTTATATGCACAATCCAAGGTGAGACAACTTTTCCGAAACTATTTTCATGCTTGTAAAGGAGAATCATCGAAGAGTCGAGCGCTAATGAATTTGGCACGTTTGTGCGCTTGATCAACAAACCGTGAGATCAACCAATATTTTGTTTTAAATCAAAATGTTTTATCTTTTTTACGCTCAATATGCTTTAATTCTTATCTTCTCCGCTATAAAATCACAATCTTGATTAATTTGTGAAAAGGAAATGTAAATCTGCAGTTCAATGAGGATACTTAACAAGAGTTTATCACTTTGACAAGTTCTTAACATACTCGAATTATGCCACTGTTCTTTAAATTGGATGTTTTTCTTTCAAACAGTTGCTCTTTTACGTCGTATTTGTACTGCAGTGCTAAGTTGAAGACGTCTTTATATTGCTGAAATCTTTAAAAGTTGCCGTTAATGTTTAACTTTAAAGATATTGCTTCGGATAATTTTTTAGTTTCGTCTAATATGTTTATGTGAAAATAGCCAACTTGAAATTTAAACAAGGAAGTGAAAACAACCAACTTGAAATTTAAATCAGGATGTTGAAAAGTTCTTATTTTTCTTCCTTTTCTATACTCACCTAGTTTGGAACATATTTCGACTGTTAATGACATGACACCCCTAAATTTTACTTTCGAAAGATATAGATAAAAACTTGATAATAGTTGGCATATCACGTCAAAGTAAAATTTTGACAAAAATATACCAAAATAATTGGGCTGTTTAACAGCAAGATTTCCTGGAGATACGTACGTTAAGTGTTTTTAAAGAAATCTTGCACTATCAGTACCGTTTTTCACACGTTGCAGTAAATAGTGACGAAAGTGAAGCTAGGAAAATTTTTTCTGATCTGCGTGAAGATCAATATTCTACTGAGTTACGTCCTTAGTTAAGTCTAAAATAATTTTGTCTTGTTACCCAATGTTTAGAGGAAGCAACAATCGTCTTAATGAAGCTCGGAGAGAGAGAAATAATGCAAACAGGTAATGAATATTATTATAAATATTTAAAACTTTGGAAATTTTTTCAACATTTTTTGGATTTTCCAGTGTTCTGTACCAGGTTATCTTTTGTGCTTGTGTATCACTAAGCAGCTGATATTTTAATCTCAAAAGTGTCTGTTTGCATGCACAGGTTATTTGACTCTCAGAACAATAACCGTGGTGGATACAATGTTGGAAAGTTATATTACTATGAAGGCTCAGTCCTGTCTATTGAGTGGTGAGAATCCTTTGATAGATTTACAGATTTATTTTTCAATGAGATTTATGATGATGATGGCGAAGTCTGAATTGGAAAAAAAATCAGACTTGACAGATGCCCTACACTGCACACACAAATGTTGACCCTTTAACTCCCAGAGGTGATTAGCATGTAACTTATCCCTATGGTATCCTCACCTCATTCAACAAACGGGTCATGAGAAAACTCAAACTTATCAGGTAGAAGTTGTTATCTTAATCCAACAAATTCTTGTTACTAATTTACAAAGAAATGGGTAGCAGCCAGAGGGGAGAATCAACAATCAGATCTTGGGAGTTAAAGGGTTAAGCTGTTTACAACTGTAGCTCCAATGGCCCAATATTTTACGGGTTTTGTAGTCATATGACAATAAAATACCCTTTCCTTTAGTTACAGTTAGGCGTGTTATTTACAGTGCCATATATTAAAGTTCACATGGCAACCAGGTGGACAATCAGACATGGTTTGATGCTACTCTGGTTTACAGATTAAATAAATGTAACCAAAGAAGTTACTATCATTAAATCTGTAAACCAGAGTAGCACCAGAGTAGCATCAAACCATGTCTTACATTGCCATGTTGCGAGACAGCAGGCTTTAGAATCCAGGATAGAGGAAGAAAATAGGGAGGGGTCAAGGGTGTTACTTTTAGGCAGGGGTAGGCAAAGGCATGCTCAAGCTACCTCAACACCAAAAGTCTAATTTATTGATGAACATTCTGACATCTAAAACAGAGGCAAAACATGAATGGTACATGTGCATTAACCCATGAAAAATTTGCTCCTATGAATATATTATCTCCTACTTGGGTGTAAGTTGATATTTTATTGATATTTGGTTGATACTCATTTCAGGACAAATCAACATTCTTGTGCAGACCCTAACAACCATTGTGATATGATTTTACAGTACATGTGTGGGGATGATGTACGCGATGGAATCACTACACAGTAAGTAACTATATAAACTCATTGTGCAGCTCTTTGGGTTCTGACTTCTTTATAAAAGACCTGTGTCAATTCATTTTCTAGAACCATTCCAGACAATCCTGCATTGTGCCAGAATTATGACTGTAACAGTGATGTTAGGTGAGTAATGCAACTTCCAGTCTTTTTGGTGGCCTTAATTGGTTGCTGATTGTGACTTACTGTTTGTCACTGAATGTGTGACATATTACCACTGACTTTTTGGATGGTATGTCTGACAAATTATTCTGATTCTCT